GTGTGATAAAAAATTCACAGATTTTGTGTAATACTTTTTGCAAAATAATGCGATGAATTCTGATTTATTGCAAAACTGTTCCAGGACGTGCTACTCAGCTATGGCTCTGTGGTCTAGGGGATATGTGAAGTAAACTCTAAAGCAAAGTCCGAGGTTCGAATACGCGTGAAAGTAAGGTAAAAATGTCATGGATTGACGGTGGATGGGATTCGGATTTCGAAATCAAAAAATGCCGGAGGAGCGCGGAGGATAAATTATGGATTCCGAAAACTTCGGATGCCAAGGGGATTGACTATGGATCCACCAATGGATTGTTCATGGATCACATATGGACGTCCAAATGGAATCCGAAATAGACCGTTCCGACAGTGCGCTTTTTGAGAAGAAATGAAGAAGTCGGGACCGGAACCAGTACCTAAAGTGCCCTTATTATTGTCATTTGACAGTGCTGTTCGACGTGAATGACCTCGATTTAATCTCTAGTAACTGTCAATTTTAGTTTTCACTAATTTCAGCCATTATTTTAGAACTGTTTCCGGTAGTGATTTCATTAATTCTTCTTAAAACGGGCACTGCCGGCAGGTCTATTACGTTCTCTTTCCTCATTCAGAATGAAGCCCCGTTTAGACGGTCTAGACGGCGTTCCGTTCCGCAGTTTCCACTGTTGTCAGACTTCTGACTAATTTCCAATTGTGTTGGAATCATCGCTGTTCTGATTTTTATGGTGTTTCTAGTTTCCAGTTGCACCTAATTAGCTTGGCGCGTCTTCTGGAACGTCTGACTAGGTTTATGTCAGTTATTACTCTGATATTTGTAGCGCGAGCGGAAAAGCGGCAACGCCGGAAACGGCTGAAAGACGACCTGTCTAGACCGTCTGAACGGGGCTCGTGCGCCACGGCGAAAAGAGAACGTAATAGACCTGCGGAACCATCTATTGAAACAAATCGGATTCCACAGGGATCCATACCACAAGAAATCCTTCCATCCTCCCCAGATCCATCAGGGATAATGCATCACGAAACTATCTCAGAGTATCGCACAAATAAGAGATATAAGCAATGAATTTAATGTTGTATTTTTGTGCGATGATCATCACAACAC